GTCGAGTGACCCTGTTCTAGAGCAGAGGTTCCTGCCCTGGTGTTACAAGAACACTTTTCACTCCAGCTGTGCTCTGCATCTCCACTGCTAATGGATGACTGTTTGCTTGTTTAGGCTTTTATTCAACTTGCTTTACCATCCAGTCCCCAGTGTCAAAAGAACTCTGTCCAACAGCTTCAGCACACTGGGTCTGGAACAGAAATTGCCATAGCGCCCACAGATGGGAGTAGCCGTCTTCTCGGCCACACCCACAAACGGGCGTTACCCAGTCACAGACACACCCAGAAGTGGGAGTGTCTATGCAGCGGGCACACCCACCCCAGGTAAGGCTCTATATCATTCACAAAACATGACAAGCGCTTCTTCTTTCTGCAGGTCCCATCGTGTACATTTCGCAACACACCTGAATGAGGGCAGTTCCAAACCTCAGAAATGAGTCAATGCAAGCTACAAATCCCATCTGACTTTTTAAGACCTGAAAACAAATTCGCCTGTGAAAGACCCAGCAGATGCAGTGTTCGTCCCGGTCCAGGGGTGGGATCGCCCGCTACAGAGTATGGTGTCCCCCGTGTCCGTTTCACTCCAACATCCAACCTCCCTTTGGCTGAGAGGACCAGTTGATCAACAAGAACATGGTAGAAGCATCACTGGCCTGCCACTACAGCTCAACACGCACTCCGTACAGCAATGTAACATGCACACAACCTCATTTCACAAACAAACTGCACACAGGCGCAAAGGGCATTGCGACAACCACAAAATCCAGAAAAGTACAAAAGAGCAGAAGAGACCAGCAGTCACTGGAATTTAAATTTTTAATCTTTATATATGGCACAGGCTAAAAAGAAGGTACAATACAAAAATCTAAAACCTGCACACAGGCTGGGGGCCCCCAGCTCCAGGGCTCTGAGGAGCCACGGCCCCACGTGGTTTCAGGGTCTCTGCACAAGCGGCAGCAGCTTCAGGTCTTCGCAGTTGAAGGGGGTGAACTGTCCCAGCTGCGGCCGAGACTGCACTGCAGACTGGCAGGACTAGGACTGAGATTCCTTTCCCTCCTCAGTGGCGTTCCATGAACCAGGAATTCTCTCGCCACTTGCCCTCTGACCCCCCCCCGCCTCGCAGCCCCCCAAACTCCTGGCAGGAGGGCGCGAGGCCATCATCGTTCCCCTCCCTCCGGACAGGACGCCAGTCCATCACAGGGAGACGGGACAAACCAGAGATGAGACTAGTCCATCAAACCCAGGCAGCCAATGCAAACGCTGGAAGAACATGCAGTCTCCACCCAGACAGATGCTTAATGTCAGTATCAAGCCTTGGTGTCCCAAGACTACAATGCTGCTCCATCAAGCAAGTGAGGCCACTTTTTTTTTTAGGGGGTGGGGCTGCTATTGAGAGTTTGTGACAGTTTCCTCCACACAGGGCAGGGCTCAAAGCCACATCCCCATACAGACAGGCCAAGAGAGCCGACTCTCTTTAGTCTTGAACAGAGGAAACCACAAGGGGCCTCAGTCTAAGTATCCAGACTCCTCAAAGTCAACTCAACAGGCTTAGAAGGGCAAAAGGAAGAAGGAAACAGAGGTGCATTTAAAACAGAGCTGGAGGCAGTTCTTTACACAAAGGGAGGTGTGGGTGTGGAACAAGCTGCCCCAGCCTTGTTGTTGATGACTATTCTGGGATCAAATACCTTCTAGTACCAACATAAGCTCAATGGCCCAAATGGACTACTCTCCTCTTTGACCTGTGACCTTTGGGATGTTCTGATGCTGCGGGCGCCTGCAGAGAGACCCCCACACCCTACAGAATCAGCCCCCCACCCCCAATACAGAGAAATCGCCTTCTGTGGAGGTTGGTGAGAGGGAGGTTTTTACAGGACAAACTGAAACGAGGGAAAATAAAATCTTACACCGATTAACACACGGCAACAAAGAGACGTTCAACATTGCCAAGATGAGCAGCGCACAGCGCAATACTGGTCCCCCTTCTGTCAGAACTGTTCTTCTCACTACAGCAAGGAATCGTTTCACACAACCACCTGCCCTGACGCCACCACCTCGGTGACCTGGCGCTGCAGCCCCATTTGTGGGCACACCAGAAAATAATGCTGTGTGTGCAGTACGGATCTTCATACGTCCACAGCTAGCCTCACACAGCACACTCACTCTGCTGCTGCACTGTAGTGACGACACTGCTAGGTTGTTACACTGTAGATTATTGCACTGATGTGCTGTTACGCTGTAGTGTACTGCACTGCTCTACCGTGACGCTGAAGATTATTTTACTGATGTGCTGTTACGCTGTAGTGTACCACAGTGCACTGCTGTTACAATGCAGTTTACTGCACCATATTACTGTTGAGTAACTTCCTACAGTGAACTTATTTTGCACAACGCTTTACTGCACCCTTCTGTTCTCTAGTGCATCATCACTGTGTTCTCACTATAGACTCCCACAGTGGCAGAGAAGCCGGAATCTGACTGTTCTTGGCTCCGAGATCAGTCCTCGGGGCCTGCCTGGGAGAAAGCGAGGCCTGTGGACGAGCTCCTTCCACACACCTGGGTGGCAGGGCCATTCGCCCTCAGCTGCTCTGTGCCTTCTGACGAGCCCGCCAGGAGAGCGAGCGCAGTCCTTCCCAACCTCATCACAGGCCTGCCGGCACCTGGCCAAAGGCACAGGAGTTGCCGATCTGAGGTCTCTGCGCCCGCTCCGGGCTGCGCAGGCAGGCGTGAGGGGCTGATCTGCACTAGCTTCGTTATTTAACGAAAAGCACATGGGTGGGAGTCATGCGGTCACTGTCACGTCAACAGCTGGTGAGAACACGAACACCAGGGGAAACATGTGAACCTACAGTGGTCAGATGACAGGAATACTGGAACACTACTGGCATACTGCAATACTGGGACCAACCATCCCATCAACTGCTGCTGATGCCCTGGCTTACTCCAGCAAACTGCGGGATGAGATCCCAGGATGAATGAGCTACAGGCTAGATGGCCACCTCTCAGGTGAACTGACGGTGACATTCTCGCGAGCAGCTTCCGATCTGGGAAAGTCGCCCATTAAACCTCTCAATAAGCAAACTGGGAAGTGAGGAAAAACCGGACATTGTGCCGGGTGTGGATCCCCCCCAAAAAGTCCAGCTCCCATCCTCCAGAGCCACGCCCTGTCCACCTGGGCTTGCAGGCACCTTCAGTCAGGGGCTGAGGGAGACTACCATCAGGACCAGCTGGATCAATTAAGCAATTAATAGCGCTAGATAATCAAAAACGATCTGAAGTTCTGCAAGAACTGGGACCGCAAATCCCCACCCCGGTAGGAGCCCAGAACACACCGACGACAAAAAGCCTAACTAGACAAGAAAGTTCATCTCCATGTTCAATAAAGCCAGCGCTGACATGACGGCCGGGAAGAGGCGAAGGACCCAAAGAAGACTTTTAATGTTCATCTGTGAAATGCAGTAAGACGAATCGACCCATTACGAAAACCAAAAAACAAAACAGGATCATGACCTCATAGCCCTTGAGGACTGGATTCAGTCTTCTGGAGTAAAACGAGATACCTGGACGGTGATCAGACTCCCGCCGCACAGCAGCTCGGTCCACTCCAGGTTCTACCTGGTGCAAGCGGCTCTTCTACTGAAGCAACACCAGGAGCTGGAGGTTTGAAGCGCAGAGTCGATCTGCGCAGACAGCGCGTGCAGAGTTCAGAAACCGCGTTTCAATACCGCTGGCTCTTGACTGCTGCAGCTGGCAAGACCTGGAGTGGATCAGCCTGCTGTGCAAGGGGATCCGTGTTTATGGCCAGTCCTGGAGAAGCAGGGGAAGTTGGAGGAGGAAGAAGGGAAGGTGGGGAGGAGGGGCTGGAGATTCGCGATTCCGGGAGCGATCACACATCCACGGGTCCCTTCCCGGGAAGGCCGTGCTCGGAGAGGGATCTGTGGGAGCGAACGGCGGGGATGAGCCGGGCCGTGTCCCTCTCGCAGGAGCTGGCCAGGCTTGCCGACTCCTCCTCCGACTCGTCGTCCCCGGAAAAGCCGACCCCCTCCGCGCGGCCGCAGGAGAAGTAGTCCTCGCGGGCCAGGAGGGGCGAGGAGCGCGCCATGGAGCCGAAGGTTGGCGCGGAGGCGGCGGGGTCTGTCGTCGCGCTGTGCGGCCCCGGGGGGCTGACGGGGGAGCCCGGGTTCGAGGGCCGGAGAAGGGGGGTCCTCTCCGTGTCGGCCTCCCCCTCTTCGGATTCACGGACCCCTCTCTCGCCTTCGGACTCGGACTCGGAGTCGGAGTAGTCTGGGCTCCTCCGGGTCACGCGCTGCTTGCAGACGGGGCAGGTCTTCTTGGTCTGGGTCAGCCAGGGGTCCACACACTTGCAGTGGTAGGCTGGAGACAGGCAGAGGGAGGAAGAGGGGCACAGGGATCAGTCCAGACTCTGGCGAGGCGACATGCCTCAGGGGGTGAAAACCGAGCCCAGGGGTCACTGTGCCAGAGAGGTACTGTACCATGGGAGCAGGGCAGGATCCTTAGCTTGTCCCCCTCCTCGTACTCGTCCAGGCAGATGGCACACACGTCGTACTCGTCCCCTGCAGAGAGAGGGAACACCGCACACCCCGTCAGAGCCTGCACGCACACACCCGGTCAGAGTCTACAGCAGCGCGCACAC